TTCGGATTATATTTTACCTAATGTTGTACGCTTTCTAATTTTATTTCGGATTATATTTTACCTGATGTTGTACGCTTTTAAAAAACCAGGAAAACTATAGTCCTTGTCAGATGTATTTCACACGTGATGAAATTGTAAATAGTTTAATGGAATAATAAAAAATTATTTTATATAAAGTATTATTTATTTTATGATGTAATAGCAATAATTAAATTTATAATAGTTAAATTAAAAACCATCAAAATATATATATATATATATTAAAGCAATTTTTTAACCAAACAGTGTAAACTATTTTTTGTTCAATCTCAAATTCAATCATAATTTTAACCAAACATATATAAATACCAAACCAACCTCAACTAAAAATATTTTTTATAAAAAAAAAATTCAAACCATAACCACAATAGTTACTGCTAATTTTAATCAAACATATATAAATACCAAACCAACCTCAACTAAAAATATTTTTCATAAAAAAAAAAAATTCAAACCATAACCACAAGAGTTACTTAATACCAAACACACTCTTAGCACCAATCTCTCCACAAATCAATTATATCACAATACTCACCACATACTACTACAACAACACGCACCTTCAATTATATCACAATACTCACCACATACTAACACACACCTCAAGACACTACAAGTGCATTTCGTTTCAATGTGGTTGTGGTTAATTTTTAAATAACTTTTCATGCTAAAATACATGTTAATAATTTTTTTATTTTTTAAAAATTATTTTTGACATCAATACATCAAAATGGTTTGAAAACACTAAAAACATATTAATTTAAAATTAATAAAAAATAATAAAAAAATTGGTCTATAAATATTTTGGGTCATTAGATAAATATAGAAATATTTTCAAACTCAATATTTTTCGTTATACAACAATTCATGGAAGTTCACAATAAATGATGATAATATTGGAAATTCTCAATCAATGGATATGCTATGTTAATTTGGGTTTCTCACAAACAAAGAAGTTAATGATGATGAATGAACAATTCATTTTCCATCTTGACTAGTGACCCATTACATGATTCAAAAGTGTTCAATTATACTAAGCTCTCATAGCATTTTACTTTAAAGCATCCTTCCATCAAGAATTAATGTGCAAGTGATTTAATTCACAAAATATAAGGGTATGAATAGCCGAAAGTTGATGGGGGCATTTCAATTTTGCACAGAGACAAGAAGAGTGTCAAGTAAATGATAAGAGAAGCCTTTTACATACATATATATATATATATAAGGGATTCTCTTATCAAAAAGAAGGGTGCGCAAATGGGCCAAAGTGATTATTTTCTTTTTCAATGTTGGTTGAAGGAAATACAATAGAAATCTTGACACAAAAATGATGAACCTCACTCGTTACATGATACGGTATATGGTATAATAGCTCAATGTAATGATATTTGGAATCTGATTTAGACCACCTTTTTAAGTACATGGAATGTTTGTTTTTTCATTAAGGATTTACTTTCGGTCTTTGATCATTCTCTTTTTAGTTTCCCAAGTTTGCTTTGCTTCGACAAATTTGTTAAACAGATAAAGCAATTGAGTGCCAAAGTGATATCTTGAGAATATCTTATGAGCCAATCTGATGGAGATTAGTGATAATATAATAAGCTAGCCTCTGCATATTCTCGTGTGCCTTTTCACACTAGTGTGAGCCAGCAAATTCAATCAGCATCTCATCTAACGCAGTGTTCTAACCTCTTTTTTTGTGGGAAAGTTTCGTTTTTCCTTGAGAGATTGCTGCCATGGGAGTGTATAATCTGTGGAATCTTTTACTGGTGCATGTTACAAAAGTGCCTTCTTTTTATACAAGACAACTGCAATTTGGCTTGTAGGACAGTAAAAGTGAAACAGCAATACAGGCACACTACTCCTCTAGTTCCCTCTATGATAGTTGGAGGCAACAAGGCCAAAACAGTGCAAGCCTTCACGACAGGTTAAGGGTCTTTGGTCCCATAAGCAACAAAAAGGACTGTGTACACGCCCTACACATCTGGGGCTCGCAGTTCAGACTCCGAACCACGTGGGATTAGCAAAAATATAGACTGGGACAGTGACATTATAATAGAAGGGACAACTCTAAAGTAAAAGCATAGAGCAAGTACACATTACTCTGCAATACTTGTGTTGTTCATCTTCATGGAAGGGGAGTTGGAGTTAGACATCATTGTAGAGAGTAAAATCAGGTGGAGCTTGTGACATTCCTGCTTTTCTTAATGAAGATGTGGTGAGCTTGTTCACAAGTCACATATCAGTAAATCTTCTTAGCTTTACAAGTTGAATTGCAATTTGCGTGATGGCGTCATCTTACTTTGCATTTGTGGATGTCAAGTAATCTAGCTAGTATAGCTTCTTATCGTTGTTTTTTTCTGAAACAAAATCAAATTTCATTGTGAGATCTGCAGGATTTTTAGTTGCCCTTCATATGAACAAAGCATGCACGAGCTTCATTATTATTATCGCTATTATCATTAAAGATGCTCCAGGAGCATGGTTTGCAAAATATTATGATCCAAGGAAAACTTTATTGAAACATTAATGACCCGAGGGTCCCATTCTGATGCAAATGGCCAAAGACTACCTGTTCAGACCTGATCCAGACTCAGGCCTCTCATTATTAAGAAATAGGTGCTTGTCGCTTGCTTTGAGTTAAGTTTATGCAAAGGCATTGTGGTCAAAGAAAAAAGGATCCAGCAGTAAGGAAACCTTCTTATCTTCAGCAGAGTTCACTTCTTATCCAGATCATCATGACAACATGTAATTCTCTCATAAGAACTATCCTCACATTATGAGATGCAACATTTGTTTCAAATTTACAATCACTGAACCAAAAACGCCCCTGGCTTGAGTAGGTATTTGGAAGCTCAGTCATCTGTATTTTTTTAACATTTTTAAATTTATTTTTGTTTTTTATTTTTTTTTTAAATTTTAATTTTTTTTTTGTTTTTTTTTGTTTTAATATACTGATTTCAAAAATAAATTTAAATAATAATATATTATTTTAATACATTTTCATATAAAAACTACTTTTAAAAAGCAGCCTCCACAGCTATTCCAAGCACCCATTAAACCTTAAGCCTTGAGTTGTGCATCTCATTTTTCTTTTTAAATGGGTGTTTAAGAATATAGTTGGAATTGATTTTTAAAGTAGTTTTTATTTATAAAAATATTAAAATAATATTTTTTTATTTTTTAAAAATTATTTTTAATATAAAAGTATTAAAATAATTTAAAAATATAAAAAAATATTATTTTTTTAAAACATTTTGAAATGAAAAAAACACAAATAATAATATTTTTTCAAGGCGTCCAAACGTTGACACCATTCCCATGGAAGCTAGCTGTGCGTTGGTTAAACTGTTCAAATTATATGGAAGAGAAGGGGCTTATCTCAAACTTGATAGCATGACATTATTAATTACATAAATTAAGAAGTCAAAAGATGGTACCAAATAAATGGAAACGCCACCGAGTAGTCATCTTCTCGGGTTGAAACACCATTCCCATGGAAGCTAGCCTCCAGTTGATGAACTCTATCTTTTTCAACACCATCAAATCTCATCTCACATGACCTAATCGTGGTGACAAAAATTACTGTACACAAGGCATATTTAACGTGGATTGAAACAGCGAGATTACACCTTTATCCTTAATAATAATAAAAAAAAATCAATGAAATGGCCACAAGGAGGTAAATGGATTTTTTTTTATTAGTTATTTTTGAATTGATTAAGCGCATTATGATCCTTTCATATTTTTTTAAGGAAAATAACTTACAAGAGTTTTTTTGAAATTACACTTCTTAAAGAACAGTTAAATTAACACATGTTACCGTTGGGTTCAAAATTTTTAAAATAGGACTATATGATTTTTTATTTATTTTACTTTCATTTTTTTTATTTTTAGATAAGGTCAAGAGTAATATATATATATAAAGTTGTTAATAAGTAGAGAGCATACATTAACATATGAGTCACCTTATTATCTTTAGAAGACAAGTGCAGCAACCTATATTAGCAATAAGATGGTCACTGGAAACTTACATGGTCATTAATTTTAGGATTCGTGAGATTAGTCGTGATGCGCGCAAGCTGGCCCGGACATCCACGTTAATAAAAAAAAAAATAAATAAACGACACCCACGTTAATAAAAAAAAATAAAAATAAAGATCATCCCTATTCTTTTTTTATTTGTCTCAGCAATACCTACCTCTTTAGATGACACGAGTATAACAATCACTTTAATTTGTTTGTTTTTTAAATTGAGGCTTTGTTTTTTTAGTTATAACTTTTTAATTTGAATAAATCACTTTAATTTAAAATTATTTTCAATTTATTATCTTTTAATTTTTTACATCTCTCAAATTTGATCTACATTGTAATTGCTATTTGATTAAATAAAAAAAAGAAGGGTTAAACTTGAATTTTTTTTTAATATTTTCAACATTTATTATTTTGCTCATTAAAATTAAATATTTTAATTTGTTTAATATAGATTTTATGGAGTTATTATGTAGATTATAAGTTTCAAATATTAATCTTAATTAGTCCAGGATTATTAAAAAAATAATTAGATCCACAACATAGCCGGACATTAGAAAAACTAGCATTAAGCTATTACAAGTCACTTTTAAGTCTCGAAACTTCTCTAATTTTCTCCAACATCGTCGAGCTATACTTGCCAATTTTTTTTTTTAAAAAAATGCCACTGCCTTCAAGCAAGAAAGAAAACATTAACTGCTCCTTAATTAAACACAATCTAACATAAGAAATTAAGGCAGTCTCAGACAGGCATTTCAAGGCCATTTTAAGCGTAAGTAACCAAAACCTTTCAAGCTTCAACACCCTGTAGTCTCCAATTTAGCTGTACAGCACACCAAAAATCACCCACAACCATACAAACAAACACAAGAAAACAAAGTCACTCAAACACAGAAAACAAAAGGGAAGTAAAGGGAAAATAAGGATAATAATAATTAAAAAACAAATTTGCAGACAGGTGAAAAGTAAAAACAATAGTAAATAATAAAAAGAGGCAAAGACCAAATCTTGAGCTCTGCTAATGATCTATTTTCTTAAATTTAATTAGCCTTTAGAGTCTAGCGTTGGGTGTCTCTCTTGGAGAACTAATGCTCCACTTAGCTGGTAATTCTCTTTGTGAAGGACTTCTCCAGAATCCAGTACCGTAGAAGGTCTCCCACATCTCCTTCTCCAACCTCAGCATAGCTTCCTCCTTCTTCACAGCCTCCTCACCATCGAACTCTCGCAATGAATCCTCAACACGAGCCATTGGATGAATATGTAATTCCGGATCATCGCATCCACAGCCATAACCCCTCCCTCGCGGGGGGAAAAGGCCTTTCTTGATCAGTTTTTTCCGTTGTTTTCTTTTCAAAGCACGTCGACATATTCCGGCAGGAATCTTGTAGATAGTTAGAACCAAAAGGTTAACTAATCCACATGGACAACAACAACAAATCGCTGCACACTCTGCTGTTGTCCCTCCCGCTATCTCACCAAAACGCCCGCTGCAGCAGGAGGAACCTGAGGAGTTGGCGTGTCTTAAAAGGGGCCGGCGCTTTATCAATGATGAAGAAGATGCGAATGGCATAATACACTGATTGTCGGAGTTGCGTTTGTCGCTAATGTTAATAGTATTGTTTATCAAGAAATGAAGCTGAGAAGAAATGCTCTCTTGATTCCAGCCGCAACAATTGATTATAGAAACACAAGAAAAAAACCATTAATTCTTGAAAAGAGAATCCAATCCAATCAAGAAGATGAAGAGGAGGCCAGAAAAGAGAAGAAAGGAAAGGGTCTATAGAAAGATGACCCTCTGTAGATATTAGGGAGGAGGAAGCTGGTGTGCTGGCTCCATGGGTTTGGATGACACCGCAGAAGCTAGAAGCTAGCTAAGAACTGGCAATATATTCGTAAGAGAGAGCAATCAAAAGGGACAAAGAATCTCAAGTTCAGGCAAGTTTTGCGCTGACTCTGATTTTCGTTTCTGTTCCTTGAGCTTGCGGGGTGTTTTTACTGTTTTTGACGAGGGTTTTGCTTTATTTGGACAGGACACAAAGATTGAATTAATAGTCGAGGGCGTGAGAGAGAAAGGAGGATGGTTTTTCTTCTTTCCTTCCCTATTTTCTTGGTGGGATCTGTTGAACTCGGAGGGATGATGACTCCCTGATGAGCTGTGGAGGTATTTATGTATTTAATTACAGGGGGAGAAGGGCGCTTTTTAGGACAAGGGATTGATAGCACATAGAGCTGAAAGAGGTTTTAGAAGGGGAGTCAACATGTCAGGAGATGTGCAGAGGTAGTCATTCCACTAATCTCACCGAAAGTTTCTTTTTTAATTCTCTTTTTTATTAAAAAAAATCAACTCATTTATTTAATATACGAGAGTCTCGTTGCTTCAAAGTATGAGATTTTTTGGAAAATGAATTAGGGAACAACGAGCATTATTTTACTTTTATTTCAGATAACTAATTTCCCTTTCATGCTCTTATTAGTGGCTAATTAATTCTGTAGGTTGCATATTTACGAGTCTCGTGCACGTGCTCCTCCAAGTCAAAATAATTATCTTGGAGTGCTATAAAGTTATATTTCAGATAATATTTGCATTTATTTTTCAATTTCAAATTTGAATTCAAGGCAAGTAAACTTAATTTGACTCATAAATAAATCCAAGCGGTGAAAAAACGAGCTGTAACGCATCAAAATAAGTCCAAACAAACTTTGTTTGTTCTTTCATTATCTCTAAATTATTTATACTTACTAGAGAAAAAAATTAATAAACTAATTAAACTAAAAAAATAAAAAAATAACTAAAAAACTGAACCATAAAAAAAAACAAATAAATAAATTATTTTTTTTTTTAAAATTTGGTTTGGTTCAATTTTGTAAACATGAAATAAAAAACAAATTGAGACAATTTAGTTAAAAAACAAACCAAACCAAACCAGAAAAAACCCATTAGAAAGTCTAAAAAATCTTGAAAAATAATATAATTTTTAATTTTTAATAAAAAATAATTAAATTTAACCGAAATCAATCAATTGAAATTGATTTTGATTTTTAATTTAAAATAATGAAATCAAATTAAATTAAAATCAGTTGATTGAAATCAATTTTATTTTTTATATATTGTATAAAATTTTAGTTTAATTATTTTTATAAATAAAAACTGAATTAAAAAAAAAACTCATATTTGCCATCTAGCTAGCTATCCGCATCATAGATATCAAAAGAACGGCAAAAAGCCAAGCAAGCAATCGAAAGGATTCTCGACATTTCATCAACTGCACTTGTATTTTATGCGTTGTTTATTTGTTGGAGGAATACACTGCGTGTTCAGAAAATCTTATGGTAAGTAACTAGTGATAATTCAGTAATAACCTATTAATTACTATGTCTATCAAAAAAACTTTAAGGAAATAAACAAAAAGAAAAAGAAAAAAAATTGAATATATAACCCATCAACTATATTCAAATCTAACGATATTCAAATTCAACTTTCGTGAGCAAGTTTTGCCCTTGGCAGGATTTAATGGGCATTGCACACTACGTGATAACTATATAGCATGTGTGTGGCACTGTAATAATTATCTTTTCATGTCAGGATTATAAAGATATTTATGAATTAAAAAGATAAGAAATTATTTTTTATTTTTAATAAAAAAAATTATCATTTTATATTATAGTCACTAAAAAACTTAATAGTCCGTGAAAGCTGGATAAAAAAATTGATTATATAAAAAGAAGACATATTATATGATACACTCTATCCTATCTATGATAAGTTACTTTATTATTTGTTTTACATCATGTTTCTATTCGTTAATTTTTTCAAGGTTTGAGAAAAGTTGTTTTCAGTATGAAGATTCTTATCTCATTAAGTTAAAATCTAATAATTCTAAAGTTTAGAAAAGTTTATCTAAAGTTTAAGAAAAGTTTTTCTCAATAAGAGATCTTCATCTTATCAAGTTAAATTCTAATAAAATTTTAGCTAAATCCTAATAGATAATCACATATTTGTTGTGATACTTATGGATTGATTTTTTTTGTATTTTTTTAAGTATGATGAAAATATAATTTTTGTTTTTTTCATATAAAAATGCATAAAAGTTTTAAAATTTAGCCATATGCATGCCAAATAAAATATATTTCTTGTAATGATGAAATGAGGAAATGTTTTAGAATTTTTTTTTTGGAATTTTCTTAAAATTTGGGTGAAAAGAGAAAATTATTAATATCGAGTTAATATATTACTGTATAAGTCTACATACCCAATATTAAGTGAAATCCTTGAAAAGAAACATATTTTTTTGTTTTTGAAATAAAGGGGTTTTTTTAGTTTTTTAGATTTTTGGAGGAAATATAAGTTATTTTTTATATTGGGTTTGTATTTTATAATATAAATTTATGATCTAGTATCATGTAAAATTACTGGAAAAACATACAAAAGATTTATAAATAATTTTAAAATAATTCTTGAGTTTTTTTAGATTTTTAAACATCTGTTTGACTAAATATACAAATATAAATAAAATAAAAAATTTAAAGCTTGTTTTCCAAAAACACACTTAATCTAAAATCAGATACGTAAAAAACACTTTAATGACGTGTTTTATAAACACCCTCCAGCAAGTCAAACAATGCTTTATTTTTTAAGAAGTCAAATACAACTTTATTTCTTAAAAAAAGGAGAAATCTTTACAAAGGATACGAGACAGTTAATCTTTTACAAAGAATTCGATAATGATGAAGCAGCTGAGAAATTGAAAAACAAGTTCCTTTTATAAGTTCTTAGAGTCCTTTAACGGTTTATTTCCTTTCTACCACTCCTTAATTTACTATATATTAGCACCAACATAATTACTTTTATTATTTTACTACTACTCCTCTTATTTTGGCATTATTTTTATTTTTATTTTTTTATGATAAAGTATATCTTTAAACCAGTGTACGTACCAACCGAAACTAAACTCCACTTCAAATAATTTTACAAACACAACCCACAAAATCTCATCAATATCTATGTAGGGTTATTATTATTATTATTATTATTAATCTTTAATTAAAAAACAAAATTAATTTTATCTTCGAAAGAAATCTTATATCATGCTGAAAAAGACCTCTTTTGAGGTTCGAGGAGACTGTCTCTCATTGTTGTTTTTAATATACAAATTAAAGAGAGTAATTAAGGATTATTTCTTGATGTTAATTACCTTTCTTTCTTCTTGTTCTTCTTTATTTATATAAACAAGCATGCTTTCTAAATAAATACAGGGAATAAATACAGGGAACAAGGAAGATATATACGAGAAAGCTTTTAAAGAAATTCCATCAGTATTGTCCGCTTGATTTCTTGGTGTTAATTTCAAGATAAAGATTTGCTTGGTCGAGAACTTAAGTCACAAATCTTCATCATCCATTACTCAACTCGTTTGTAGATGCTTTTAGATCACTAGACGACGGATATATATTATTCAAGATTTTTGTTACTTTTTTGATGTCTTAGCTTCCGTTTGAAATTGAAAGATGAATTTATTTTAGACGGGTGGAATTAAAAAAGAGAATTTTTTTAAAAATAATATAAATTATATTTTGATACTTTATCTAATAATTTAAAGTTATTAAATTAAATTAGTTTGTTAATATGATATTACAGCCTTGATTCAAGATCAAGTGATTTTAAATTTAAATTTTATTATTTTTATTTATTTGATAAAAATTAAATATAAAATAAAATAAATCTATATAAATTTTAAAATTAAATAATTTTTATTTAATAAATATGTTAAAAATATTAAAAAAATAATATAAATTATATTTTAAAATTTTATATAATAATTTAAATTATTAGATTAGCTTACAGAGAAGGGACATAATGGTTTCTTACGGCTAAAGAATTAAAAAAAGCTATGAATTGTTCTTTGACAAAAGCAATGAACTGTTAATGGCCATTGGATATTTTAAAATGAGATTTCTCTAATTCACTTAAAACATTTTAGGAAAATGAAGGTAAATTGTATTTGAAGGGAGCTAAACCTAAGCAATACTAAACATGATGCTAAGTTATACTGATTTACAAAATTTATATTATCTTAAATATAATGTTTCTTTTTAAAATCATATTTTCATATTTGATTTTGTTACACTGTGAAAAATATTTTTTTTAAGTAGAAATAAATTATGCAGAAAGTGACCTAAATTTACATATTATAATATTTTTATTTAAATTTTGAATTCTAAAAAGGATGCAATATTTTTTTTTGGTGAATATTCCAATTGAATGATTAGTTTTAAATTGGAAACTCGTTTCAACGTGTGAAAACTTATCTGATGATCATTATTATTAACATGCAAAATGCTATAAAGACCATATTTATCAGACGTGGGTTGATCCAGAATTTTGTTCAACTCTAAAAATAACTTATTAATATATATATTTTATATCTAGAAAAATAAATTGAATTGTGTTTTTATAATGTGAAATAAAAAAATTATTTAAATACTTCAATTTTAAAGTAGAAAGCAATATATTTTTATTGTAGAGAAAAAATAAATTAATATAATTTTTTAAATCTTATTATTTACAATTATATAGTTTATATCTATACATATTGTTTCTTAATCTTTTTATATGAGATATTAAAACCTTAATTCTAGTTTCTTTGCTGGATCAAGCCAGAGTTTATATTTAATAATCATAATAAAAGTTATATTTATATATTTATTTATATTTAAATGGTAAGGATATTAAAAGTAAGTAAAAAGCCTCGAAACTTAACATAGAACAAAATAAGGTAATTATAAACTCTGAAGTCGTATGGTATGATAAAAATCTAACATCATTGATTATTTCCTTAAGTTTTGTTTTTTTTTTCTTATTATATTACAATATTGTTTTATAAAGGTTCTCGAAAAAACTAGATAAAGAAAATATCAAGACATGGTCAATTTGGTCCCCGTGTACTTCTATGGATCGGAAGTAATTTTAAAGAAACAATATTAACGCCATCATTCATCATTAGATTTCGATATTTGAGACTGCTTCGCCATTATTACTAGTTGAACAGACTTTATTGCAATTTACAATTAATCCGTATCTAATTGCGTCGGCTTTCTTGTCTTCTACGTAGCTTTAATGTGAATTCTAAACGTTTCAATCCGGCTGATGCCTAATTTCCTGTTTGATACTGTTGGGACTTCTTCTTTGAATGTTTTTTTTTTTAGAAAAATATTAAAATAACATTTTTATAATTTTGATTTATTGAAGTGACAAAATATTATTTTAATATACTTTCTATTAATTTTTTTTAAAAAAGACACGGACTAACTTAATTTAAACTAATTCAAAATGATTCAAAATAATATATAAAAGTGGTTTGCTTCTTCATGTTTAAAATCAATGTTAAAGTCAATTCTAAAATTGTGATACGTAAACCGGAATGACACGGATGATCGCTAGGCACTTCAGCAAGAATGATGTAACCTGAGTGCTGCTGGCTAGTACTCAAAATTCATGAAACGGCTTGGTATGGTTTCCAGCGTTCAAAAAAAAAAAATTATAAAACAATATGATATAAAAAAATATTTGGAAAAATAATATAATTTATAAAATTATATTAGGAAATCTATGATTAAGAGAAAAAAAAATACCTTGAAAACACATCGAAACTCCAATGACAACAACACAAGTACCGTTGAAAAGATCTCAATAAAACAAGTCAAATAACACAAAAAAATCATAAATAATGTAAAGAGTGGACCACACAAGCTATCCAAAAATATCAAAGATCATTTGTCTTTGGGCCACTCGTGTAGCCTACTCAAGTCACCATTGGTAACCTTCTCTAGTGTTGTTGGTTTATTTTATTGATGTCTTTTCAAGGATATTGGTGGTCTTATCATCGGATTTTCGGTATGTCTATAAAGTTTATTACTTTCTTTCCTTTTTATTCTCTCTCTCTCCTCTCTTCTTATTAAATCTTATGTCTTTCAAATTTTGTAATTTGAAAAAGTCATAGATGATATTTGAGATTCTTGAATCACCAAAAAAAAAAAAATATAGATAATTATTGCAACTTATAATGGATTCTGTCTTTTTTCTAAATTGCTTTTTTTAATATTTTTTTATCACGCATTTTCTTACGTGTTCATAATTTCAAACACCATTTCAATGTTTACTCAGCATTAATTTTGTGAAACTTAACTATAATTTATGCTAGAAATAGCAATCAAAAGAGTGATAATCAAGTTTGATATAAAAAAGATAAAAGATAATTAGGTGTAGAAACCAAGAAGATAAAGGGGACATGAGAGAGGAGAAGAAAGAAAAGAAAAGAAGAAACGCTCTTGTCATTATGCACCACTAACTAATACAACACCCATCGTGATGATTCTATTGAACCATGGAAGCTATGTCCAAAGCTTGGTGGCCGCCACACACATCGTCATATAGTTGTCACTTATCTAACTTCTTAGCACATGTGTTACATGCACTAGTCATTTTTAGCTTGTATGTCCAATTTGATGCCTAATTTGGCAAACAAAAGGGCTAGATATTTGTTTTCAAGTTCAAATTTAATCCTTAAAGTTTAATTGTTTAAAATTCATGATATCAAGAACAACTAGTTCTTTATGAGATAAACCCATATGAAGAAATTGAATTAACAAGATCTTTAAGAACAAAAAGACAAATAATTTCTAATGACCATGTTATATACCTTTAAGAGTCTGACTTTGATATTAGATCTAAAGATGATCTAAAATTTTTTTTGCCAACTATAAATGGAGAAAACTCTACTCTTTGGTGTAATACCATGAAGGAAAAAATGGAGTTTATGTCTAAAAATCAAATTTGAAACCTTGTTAAATTATCAGAAAGATATAAAGTCATTGGCTATAAACGAATTTATAAAACCAAAAGAAATGTTTTTGGTAATATTTTAGCTAGATTTTTATCTAACGATTATACTAAAAAAGAAGGCATAGACTATAATGAAACATTCTCTCTTGTTTCTAAGAAAGATTAATTTAGAATAATAATTGTATTAATAGCTTATTTTGATTTAGAGCTATATCATATGAATGTGAAAACAACATTTCTAAAATAAAAATTCAGATAAAGAAATGTATATGAATCAACCTGAAAGTTTTGCTGATGACATAAAGGATTTATAAGCTAAAGAAATCTATATATGGAATAAAGAAGGCTTCCCGACAATGGTATATTAAATTTTATAATGTTATAGCCTCATGCAATTTTATTGAGATCATTGAAGATCAA